TTAAATCAAAAACTTATAAACAGTTGAAAAAATCAAAACATTATTGATTTTTTTTGATTTCCACAAATAATATTTGCTGTTGTATATATATATATATATAAATTTATATATATATAACTATATATACATATACATTTATATATATATAATTCAAAATGTGTTGTATATAATAGAAAAAAACTAGATTTAAAATAATTTTGAATTTTTTTTATAACTTGGCTCTACTTCCTTAATTCATGAACTTTTAAGTAATCTTGTTGATAGTATTATTATAACATTGATAATAGAGGTTAAATCTCCAAAAAGTCTTATGGTTTTAATGTTTTAAAACAATTAACAATATATATATATATATATATATATATATATATATATATATATATATATATATATATATATATATATATATATATATATATATATATATATATATATATATATATATATATATATATATATATGTATATATAACAAACCGTTATTAGATTATAAAGTTTTATCAAGTTTAAGATTAGTTGTGTCTTGAACTTGTATGGCTATAATTAAATCGAGTACAACGTTTTTTACCTTAAAAAAACATAAAAAAATAGCATCATTGACGATGATAATAACAATAATAAAAATAACTATAACAGGGGTCTACTTTTAAAAAAAAATTTAGTTGGGTCGCACAAAGTCTGAATAAAATTTTGAAATAAAATCTGGACACATGTTCTTTAAAAATCAAAGATAAATGCATTAGAATACATTTTTTAATGTTAATTTGTGTTTTTTCAAAAATAAATTGTTAATTGACATTCTTAATGGCGGTAATATGAATGATTTTATTTTGATATGAAGCTGGTAATATGAATGATTTTATTTTATAATTGATTTTCTTTAAAAGAGTTTGCCTAATAATATAAAAACATTATTTTATAATATAAAAATAAATAATTCTGAATATAGCTTTGCAAATCAAAGCTTCATTTGCCTGCATACTCTAAATGTAGTTGCACATAAACTTTAAAAGTTTACTCTATATAGTTACATTTCTAGGTATAAATGTATTTTTTTAGAATTCCAAGCATTCGATTAACTTTATATGATGCTTTTGTAAATTGATCATAAAATTTAAGATCAGATGATAATATTATACCTAGAATATGCATTACTTTACACTTGCTTTCATTTAGTTGCATTTGCCATATTCTTGTCCATTCTGTAATCCAATTAATATCATTCTGCAGTTGTTTTTTGCTTTCAATTGCGCCAAGTATCTTTATGTCATCAGCGCATATTTTACAAACGCTGTTTATCTTACCAGGCAGATCGTTAATCATATATTTATATCAGAGTGTTAACCAGGAATAAATTTGATACAGCGTTTTAACGAAATTGCATAATTTTATATATATATATATATATATATATATATATATATATATATATATATATATATATATATATATATATATATATATATATATATATATATATATATATATATATATATATATATATATATATGTATATAATTATATTTTGTTTAGATTAATAAAACTGATTAGTAGGACCTAAAGTTTCATGCCCAAAGGCATAAAACTTTAAGTCCCAATCATCAGTTTTTAATACAAACAAAAAATGTAAACAAACCGTTAAAAAAACTTAAATATTACTGACGAATGACTTCTGACGTTAAAAACATGTCTACATAAAAAACAAATCAAAAAACAAAAAACATTTTGTACTTTAATATAAAGAATTTTATAAGAATAAGTTTACATACTTTAACAGATGTTTTAACTTAATTAAATCAAAAAACAAAAGATAAAAAGCCGTTATAGTTTACTAGTCCCCTCTGTCAAATAAAATAATAAGAGTTTTTTTGAATGTAAACACTGAGATACGATTTTGTTTATTTTTTATTCAGTAGGTTTTTTTCCATTATGCGATAAAATAACATATTTTTTGTTGAGACAAAGGTGGCATATTTTTGTTGCTAGATTGTAAGGTGTGCAGCATTTGACAACTTTCCATTCTATAATAGACTTTATATTTTGATCTTTAAGCTCCATATTTCCTTAGATAGCTCTGTGTCATTTCAATACTTTAGTGATGTAAATGATTTGAGATGGTTTGCGTATCTTTATTTAAACAGTGTGTTACTAATACCAAAATATACTTTTTTACGATCATGATGACTGGAATTTACGGTTGCTTGGTAGACAATATTGTTAGACATTGATTGTTTAAAGGGCAAAATGTTTTGTCTAAGCAATTATATTGGTTGGTTTTTCTTTGATTTTTGTTGTTCAAAATTTTGAAATTATGCAAATTTATGATAGAATTTAGGTTAGGCATGCAACTGTAGCTGATCTTAAAAGAATTTTGGATGAATATTTTATGTGGCTTGAGACCGGCTGGAATATATAACACATTACACATAATACATAACCAATAACACTTGGTTATTAAGAAAACTGTATAATAGAGGTTAACCTATGTGTTAATTTTCCAAACATTTCTACAATTAAAAAAGCTTCATCTCTATTATTTAACAAAATGTTTAGATACTTGCGATAATGGAGATAATAATGGAGACAATATCTCCAGCCTTTTGGAAAATTTATATTTTTATAAATATATATAAATATAAATTATATAAGTATATTGTTCCTATTTTTATTCATTATCTGTAAAGTAATTACAAAAATTACATAAATTAGCTCTTGAATTAGTTCAAACAGAAAAGTCTGTAAGTTATATAACAATTAAAGATTTTTTGGACCTGAAAACTGATTTTTTTTTGATTTGTTAAAAATGACATTACTTTAGGCAGAATGGATGAAAACCAGTTTATCAAACTAGAACTTATTGTGGCTTTAAGAGCAAAAGTAGATGGAGAAGCAAACTTAATAGTTGTAGCTAATAATTGTTTAAAATTTAAAACAACTGATAAAAAATCTTGGATAAAAACCATAATATAGTCTTTTTTTAAATAAAAAATGTATAATTACAAAAATGTTTTATATTTAAAGTACATAAAAAAAAAAAATTAGGACCCTCCTCCCCCCCTCCTTCTCCACCTTATAAAATATACACATGATTACAATTGCTTAAGATCAATTCTTCCCATCATTTTTACCAAAAAAAACAATATAATCTAAAGGTAGATAGATCAAGCTACGAAAATAACTCATAGTAATTTTAAAATTTGAATTTTTTGTATTTTTAGACAGCTGGGACCAAATTTTCATTTGCACTGGTGGGGGAGTTTTATTTCAATTTGGAAAAAAGTATTACTATTTTAAGTTAATACAAGTAAAAGTTCGTCTTTGCCGCTATGCCATTTTCGAAAAAATGAAATGTCCTATTTAGTCATACCCCTAATATATACTTATAAATGTGTTAAAAAATTTTTTTTGTACACACACACACACACACACACACACACACACACACACACACACACACACACACACACACACACACACATATATATATATATATATATATATATATATATATATATATATATATATATATATATATATATATATATATATATACATTTATATATATATGTGTATATATATACATGTATATATATATATATATACACAACCACATATATATATATATATATATATATATATATATATATATATATATATATATATATATATATATATATATATATATATACATATTTATATATATATATATATATATATATATATATATATATATATATTATATATATATATATATACAACCAGATATATATATATATATATATATATATATATATATATACATATATATATATATATATACATATATATATATATATATATATATATATATATATATATATATATATATATATATATATATATATATATACATATATATATATTTATATATATATATATATATATATATATATATATATATATATTATATATATATATATATATATATATATATATATATATATATATAAATGCATATGTATATATATACATATATATATATATATATTTATGTAAATATATATATATATATATATATATATATATATATATATATATATATATACATACATTATTAATGTTATTATGTATCAAGCAGGGGTACCTTTTACGTAAAATAAAATCTTATAACAGTTACAAACAATAACAATGACGTATTTACTTCTTAAACGAGTATCTTTAACAAAATAAATAGACTATAAAACTTATATTTTATTGATAAAATCTTCTCAAAGTGTTTTTTTATTTAAGAGTAAACTTACTATTCTAATCCTGATACTTAAGTATAACAATGTTTTACCTATTCTTCTCATGATGTAATATTTTTTGAATCAATTACAACCATTTCTTCTCGTAATTCAATCCGTAAATGCTGAATAAGAGAATTTCATTACTCTTACTACTTCTTCTCGTGATACAATCTGTTTAAAAATAAATTATCAACACTTCCTTATCCTGATTCACTATGTAAATGTTGAATTAAAAATACTTTTCCTACTTCTTCACTTTTCATAGATTAAAATTTTTATTTTGAACTCTAATTTGTTTTTGTAAAAAAACTAATAACATAAGGATGCTTGTTTATGTAAAAATATGCTGTTATTTACATTTAAACACATTTAACAAAACTAAAGGACATTTGAATTTTCCTTAATGTTAAACATGCGTACCACACCAGCAATTTCTAGAAATTTATCACTTCAAGCTGGAGCAATTACCATAAAAAAAAATTGGAATTTTGGCGAAAAAAGTTTTAAAGTTGAGTAGAAGCTATCTTATTTTAAAAATAATCATTAAAATTGCAACTTAAAAGATTTCTTATAAGTCGCCATTTTTATTGGATATATCGTGGTGTTCACTCTGCTGCATAAACTGAAAGAACTAGAAAGGACTGTTTTGAAAAGCATACTAAAAAAACTAAAAAATATATTTTTTGTGCATCATCGGTTCAATGATTATAAAAAATACATTTTCCAGTTATTCAATTGTGTTTTTTTTAAATAGTTTTATACATTTTTTCAAGTTTCTTTTAAGTTGACACCTTGTTTATTATAACATGCGGCCTTAAAAAAATTTGTAAACAAACCAAAAAGCAGAGTATCAAATTGTAGATTGAACCTTGCGAAAGCGTTTTATTGTTATTTTTAAGGAGTTATAAAATCTATAATATATATTAACTATATTATCAAACTTAATTTATCACAATAATACAAAAATGCCTCCTGTAAAAAGAAATAGACGGTGTAATTTATATGGTGATAGCCCTTCTGATCTTCCTATTACAGATCTAGCAACTTATGGTGATGTAGCAAGATTTTTCTACAAATTAAAAGATATAGATGGTATTTAAGACAAAAATGTTATTATTCAAAGAACGCTTTGTAGTTGAAAAGAAATATGGTTCAATTGCAAATCCAAATTAGTTTTGTTACCTGAAAAAAGTTTGATTGTTAAACTTTTAAAATTTTATAATAATGTTGTTTCTTGGAATGGAAATAAAATTAAACCTTTAACCAAAAAACTGTTGGAAAAAAAATAAAGAAAAACTTTTTGATCTGCTAGCATATAACTGCAAGCTTGAAGTTCTTCCTTTTGATGACAGTAATATCAATTGCTCAGGTTATTCAAATGTGCATCTTTACTGTAGTTGTGTTGGTAGTAAAAAAGTAAGTTATACAAATTTAAAGTAATTTATTTTAAATTAAACTTTAAATAACTTATTTAGTTTTTATTTGATAAACTTTTTTATATTTTATTATTATTTTTTATATTTTTAGATAATAACACCTTTTACACAAATTAATAGAAAATAATATTTAAAACCAGAAATAATTATTTAGTTTCTTTTGCAAGAGCGCTCCTATATAAAAGACCAAAGGGAGAAAATTGGTACTAAAGGAAAGTTTCAAATAGGAGGTATTGATAACTCTGTTTTGTCACCTACCTCAAGAAAAACAAAGCAAACAAAAGCTTCTGATGAAGAAATTTATATGAAAGAGTTTGACACAATCATGGATCAGGTAATAAACTGTGACCTGTAAACTTTGATTGTATGATAAAAACTATATATATTCTTAAATTTCTTAATTCTTTTAAATATAATGCTCTAAAGTTAATTAGAGCATCTTAAATGTTAATATAATTAAATGTAAAATTTTCATTGTTATTAATTTTAATTTCTTGAAGTTTTGTTGTATTTTTTTCTATAATTATAGAGTGAAAATTCAATTTCACCATTAAATCAGACTAGATCAAAGTACTATAACACAATCCACTATCCCAAATTTGCTTTAGAGATAATTAGATATGGAATATCAGATAAAGCAGCTGTCGCTGTAGCTAATACTCTACTTCAAGATATTGGTTATCTACATCTAAATGATGTAATTGATCCAAGTAAAATGAAGAGAGTGAAAGAATGAGTATGCTATAATGCTAGTTTTAAGCAATCTAAAGTTTCAAATATAAAAGTAATTGGTTTGGATAGCAAACGTAATAAAAACTCATTAGTTTACGAACAGATAGATATTGATGGTGAAATAAAACTTTGTAAATATACCAGCACTGTAGACCACTTGACAATTGAATCAGGTAAAGGCCAATGTTATCTCTTTTGTCTCGGTTTTTTTTTTTTTTTTAATTTTGTTTTACTAATAAAAATGTTTTAATTTGAATAAAAGTTGCAAGGTCAATATCTAAAGCACATAGATGTACCTAAAGAAAAAGGTAAAGGAAAAAGATCTTGCTGAATTTACCTGTAATGTTCTCAAGGAGTTTAAGAGTGATAAAAGTATCCAGGCAATAATTTTGGACAATACAAGTGTTAATACAGGTAAATTTTTTCTTCAAAAATGCTTGTCTGAGAAATAAAAAAATATAATATATAAATCTTTATTTGAGTTATATATTTTCATATTACTATATTATTTTAGGTAAAGATAATGGTTTAGTTGCTTGTCTTGAAGGAATATTAAAAAGAAGAATTCATTTAATTAGCTGTCTTCTACATGTTAACGAGTTACCATTGCGTCATTTAATTTATAAACTTAATGGTTCTTCTAATAGCTTAAATAATTATTCTGGTAATTTAAATAATAATAATATTTTTCTTAGTGATAATAATATTATTTAGATTACCCGATTATTATTTAGCAACATTATTAAAACTTATAGAAATTCTATATTTTACTTAAGAGTTTTATTGCTGCTTTACTTTATTCTGATAAGCATAAATAAAAATTATTATTTTGAGTAAAAGGTTATAACTATTAATATTAATATACTTGATCAAATAATAATAATAATAATAATAATAATAATAATAATAATAATAATAATAATAATAATAATAATAATAATAATATTTTAAAGGACCAGTTGAAAAAGCTTTGACAAATCCAATTCATTTAAATTTAACTGTTGACTTCATACAAGTTGAGACAGACGTTGAATATCCTCCTCCGTGTGTCATTAAAGACCTCTCTGCTGACCAGAGAATGCTACTGGAATATAGTATTGGAATTTCTAGAGGGTTTTCAGACAATAAGTATCTGAGAAAAAAAATAGGTGTGTTGTTTTGTAAATCATTTGTTCCTAATATTTTTTCTTTTAATTTGTTTGTTTGAAGTTTATGTAAATATATATTTATTAATATATAATTTACTATTAAATTATACTATTAATTAATTTTTATATATAAAAGATTATATTTTTAGGCCCTATTTGTCATGCAAGGTGGCTAACAACAGCAGTATGGATTTTGGTACTATACACAAGAACAATCAATCCCAGTAGAGAGCTCAAAATCTTTGTTGAATATATTCAAACAGTATATACTCCTATATGGTTTAATATCAAAAAGTCTAAAAGTCTTAGAGAGGGTCCTAAACTCATTTTCCAATTTATTTGGCGGATTTTGAGGTTGGATACTGAAGTTCAAAATATTACATTGCCCATAACTTATGCCATTCCAGTTATTGATTGTAGATGTAAAAACTGGTCAAAATTAATAAATTTGTATGATATAGACTGTTTTGAGCCCACTTGTGTGGAAGATAAATCAAATGAGGAGCTTTTGAATTGATTCCGAATCAGGGAAAGGCTCCTAACTTTCCGTGCCACCCGCAAACGGTTGAAAGAGCAGTGAAAATGACTTCTGATGCTAGCGGAAAATTTATTAATTTGTTTATTATTATTATTAATTTGGTTCAGCAGTAAAAGTATAATATATTTAGTAGTAGTCAAAAGGGGCAAATAAAAGTTTTTTTGGGTGAGTGGGGGGGGGGGGGGGGAGAGGATTGTTAACACCTGCCCCGCCATCTAGTCACCACCCGTAAAAATAGTTTTCTTTTTTTGCTTCTATATATTAGAATAAATCCTGATAAAAAGTGCTGTAACAACATAACATTGTTGTTTATGCTTAAATCCGTTTTTCAGTTAATGGCTAATGATTATTGAAAACCGCTTATTGTTTAAGTTATGATAACTGTTTTTCCAACACCCTAAAAACAACCTTAAAAATTTAAGTTAAAATTATTTATACAACTTATCCTTATAAACAATACATTCATAAAGGTTTTTGTGCGTTAACGTTTCAAATATTTATTGTGTGACCTCTTAAAGTTTTTACTTTTTAATGATAATATATAATAAATATAAGTCCAAATAAGATAGAATCGGAAATACCTAAAGCTTTTATATTTTGCCCATAATGTTTTTATGGTCTAAAGAAGGTACTCTAACTTGAAGTAATTGCAATTTCGAAAAAAAGTTAAAAATCACTGGTGTCTAATGGATACACGGATACTTTTCGTCAAATAACGGAACACATTTCCGTTTTTTTAACGGAAATTTTTAAGTGTAGGGATGGCAATCCCGGGATCCCGAAATCCCAGGATTTCGTACAAATTGTTCATTCCGAAATCCCGGTATAAGTCTCCAAAATTTCCCGGGATTTCGAGATCAAAAAAAGGAAATTTAATAAATTTTAAGCTTATAATTGTAGTTTAGTATTTTTTTATATCGTCTTTGGTATAGTAGCTGTTTGGTTGTGTAACTATTTATTCTCTTTGCCATGCTTTCCTTTAAAATTTCTCTTTTTCTGTATTTTACTACATAAAAAAAATTTAAAACCTTATTGCTAGTCTGCAAAATATATATATTATATATATATATATATATATATATATATATATATATATATATATATATATATATATATATATATATATATATATATATATATATATATATATATATATATATATATATATATATATATATATACTATATATATATATATATATATATATATATATATATATATATATATATATATATATATATATATATATATATATATATATATATATATATATATATATATATATATACATATATATATATATATATATATATATATATATACATATATATATATATATATATATATATATATATATATATATATATATATATATATATATATATATATATATATATATATATTATTAGTTAATGCTGTTGAGATAAAGCGCCAGGCAATATCTATGACAGCCGGTATAAATTAATTAATGAACAGGTTAGTTCAGTCACTAAATAATAAAAAACGTTAATAGTAAGCTTTCTTGGTTTTTATCTTGTTTGTTATTGCTTCTAAGTCGACCGATTGCAAGTTTAATTTGAAGCTTTTAACTGTAGTAGATTGAACAACTTCGGCTGGTAGACTATTCCATCCATCGACAACTCTATTGCTGAAAAAATATTGCCTTTTCAAACAATTTCTGACCAATTCAGGTTTCATTCGATGTTTTGCTCCCCTAATGTTAGCTGCAGGACCTGATGAGCAAATAGAGTTCATTGTTTGATTTTTTTTAATATCAATGATTTCAATACCTTTAAATATTTTGAATTGCTGGATTAAATCGCACCTTAGCCTTCTAGTCTCCAAAGTAGTCAAACCCAAAATTTCCAATATTTTTTTGTACTCAAGATGTCTAAGCTCCGGTATCATTTTGGTAGCTCTTCGTTGGACTTTTTCTAGTTCATTAATATCTTTTGTATAATATGGACTCCATGCTTGAATTGAAAACTCTAAATTTGGTCTAACATATGTACAATACAGTGTTTTTTTATTAGATCTTTATCCTTGTACTTGAATGTATTATTTAGTAGTGAGAGTATACTATTTGCTTTACTAGCTGCATATTTTACTTGTTTAGCCCATTTTAAATCACTTGATATATAAACACCAATGTCTTTTTCTAATTTTGACTTTTCAATTTCCATTAATGTATTGTTATTGTTCATAAAATATGAATATTCGTTATTATTTAAACCAAAGTGCATAATTTTACATTTTTCAAAATTTAATCCTAATTTCCATTTTGTTGACCATTCGTCAAGTTTATTTATATCATTTTGAAACAATTATGAATCATTTTGAGAAGAAATAGGTGCTATTATCTTATTATCATCAACATATAAACGACATTCATTAATAAAATTTTCTGGTAAATCATTTATAAATACCAAAAAAAGGAGAGGACCTAGAACAGACCCTTGTGGTACACCACTAAGTACATCAACCCAATCTGTCACACTTTTACCTAAAACCACTTTTTGTTTTCTGTTAGCTAAAAAACAGACAATCCACGTAAGAAGTTTACCAGAAATACCAAAAGTCAATAACTTAGATAATAACTTTTTATGTGAAAGACTATCAAAAGCTTTTTTAAAATCTGTGTACAATACATCTACCGGTGTTCTATTGTGGAACGCATCTGTTAAAATATCTAGGTAATTCTAATAGGTTTGTTGTACAGCTCTTGCTTTTCATAAAACCATGTTGTTTTTTTGAAAGTAAATTATTTTTTATGAGATGTTGCATGATACAATCAGCTATTATTCTTTCTAACACTTTACATGGTATTGAAGTTAACGAGACTGGTCTGTAGTTAGATGCTTTTAATTTGCTTCCTTTTTTAAAAAGTGGCATTACATTTGCCTTCTTCCGCATATCTGGTTGGGTACCTGTTTCCATCGATTTTTTGAAAATTAAATAACGGGTGGTTACTAAAAATCCGGACAAACTTTAACTGAATTTTAAATGCCACAAGCTAAATCTTTTTTATTCATGTTTATATCCATTTTATAGCCTATTTAACTCTCTATAAGTTAATTTTTTTTTTTTTAGATAATTAATAATAATTAAAAGAATAATGCAAGAAGAGGTAAGAAAACGGATTCATGAGTTCTATTTGAATAATAAATTGCAAGGTAAAAAGTTCACAGTAGCTCACTTCAATGCTGAAAAAATCCCAAGAAGCACTATCTATGATATAATCAAACGTGTTGAGAATAATTCTGGGCACAAAAGAGTGCAAGGAAGTGGTCGTGTGGCCAAAATCATGACCCCTAAGAGGATCAAGCGCCTGAAAGCCATATTTGATCACAGTGACCGAGTTTCGATGAGGCAAGCTGGTCGAAAATTTGGATGCAGTCATTCACATATCATTAAAACTCTTGCCAAGTACACTGACATCAAAAGTTATACAAAACAGGGTATACCTCATCGACAAGAGAACCAGAATGAGCGAATCAAAACTGGCATTGATCGTCTTTATCGCGTTTTTAAAGGAAAATCGGTCATCCTTGACGATGAGTCTTACTTCACGCTGTCACACTCAACAATTAATGGAAACAGCACCTACTACTCTAGCAACAGAGACAACACTCCACCAAGTGTTATATATCGCAAAAAGCGCAAGTTCGAACCCAAGGTGCTTGTCTGGCTGGCCGCTTCTGACAAAGGAGTTTCAAAACCATTTTTTATACCCAGCGGCCTTGCAGTCAATAAAGCCATCTATGAAATGAATTGTATTAGGAAAAGATTAGTGCCGTTCATCAACGCTTATCATGCCGATGGTAATTACATATTTTGGCCGGACCTGGCTTCATCGCATTATGCCAAAACCGTGACCAGCTGCTACGAGACTCGTAACATCAATTTTATCAAAAAAGTTGACAATCCGCCAGCCGTACCGGAGTGTCGCCCAATCGAAGACTTTTGGGCTATTTTGAAAGGCAAAGTGTATGAGAGTAACTGGCAAGCAAAAGACATGAAACAACTACAAACCAGAATAAAGCTTTGCCTGAAAAAAATTGACCTTAACCTTGTATTTTCACTTTTTGGGTCATCTCGTGTTAGAGTTGGCCGAATCCGAAGAAACAGACTGGTTGAAGACAAACTTAATTAAAATAAATAAATAACTAAAAACTCTTTTTAATGATAGTTTTATTTAATCTCTACCATAAAAACTTTAGGAGTAATTGCACTTGAAAGTTTGTCCGGATTTTTAGTAACCACCCATTATTGACGAGCTGCATTCTTTTAAAACATATTGATGAACAAAATCAAAACCGACTGATTTTGATTTATCAAGTGCTTGAAGTCTAGTTTGAACATCATTTTGTGTTATTAAAACTGTGTTTAATAATAAATTTGAAGGTATATTATGAAACTCAATAATATTTGTACAATTATCATTAACATACACAGAATGAAAATATTTATTTAGTTCAGTAGCTATGGCGAATTGATCATTTATGATTTCCCCATTATCAATTTCCAGAGCTCGAATATGAGTTTTCACTGATTTCTTCTCATTGATATATTTATAAAGCAATTTAGGATTTGATTTTAACTTGCTATCTAAAGTACTTTCAAATTGTTTTATATTGTTCTTAATATCATTCTTTATTCTAATTTTTAGCTTATTATACTGAATTTTTGTTGATTCCTCATTCCAGCCATTACGTTTATTAGCAAGCCATATATAGTGTTTTTAGTTCTTATTTTATGTTTCAATTCAGGAGTAATCCATTTGTTTCTGTTCCTTCTATTTTGATAATTAATTCTTGGGATAAACAGATTAGTTGCATAATTGTAATGATACAAAAATAAATCATACATTTCATTTATAGGTTTACTTTTAAATCCATTTTCCCAATCTACATTATTGAAATGACAAGAAAATAGTTCATAATTTCCTTTTTGATATAATCTAATGGATTTCTTATGTTCGGTTGAAAACTTATAATCATTCATTAGATAACAACACTTTAACAAATGATGACCCTGTTTGACATTCCCTAAAGGAGCTGAGTGAGTTATAGAAACAATTTTGTTTTTATCGTTTGTGATAATAAGGTCTAGAATATTAGTTGATTTGCAGTTTGCTATTTGGAATGTTGGCTCACATACACATTGAAACAGAAAACAATCTTCAAGACATTCAATAAATTTATTAGTTTGAGATTCATTATCAGTTGCTGAAAAAGGACAATTATTATCAGACCAATCTATTGTATTATAGTTGAAGTCACCTGTAATAATAAGATCCCTGTATTCTTTTTGATAAATACTCATTTTAGCAGCATTAATAGATAGCAAAACATAGTTATTATACTCATGAGATATATCTGGTGGTCTATAAATGCATCCAATTAGCATTTTGTTATTTTTAAAACATATACAAGTCCATATTTGTTCTATAAAATTACTGTTTAACTGTAAATTATTTGTTTCAAACTTATTAATACATTGTTTTACATAAATACAAACACCTCCTCCATGAGTCTTTCTATCACTTCTAAAAATATTATAACTTATTATATTTACATCTGATTCTGCTTTAAACCAAGTTTCTGTAACACAAATAACATCCGGTTTATATATTTCACATTGTAACCTTAACTCATCAATCTTATTATTCAGAGACGTTGCATTTGTATACCAAATCATCAGTTCATTGCATTTTTGAGTATCGTGCTCCTTGTTTATACTTAAATCACATTTCTTACGCTCATGAAAGTGAATATATTGACAAAACATGACATGAAAGTGAATATATTGACAAAAAAGACATTGTTAAAAACAGATGAAATTATTATTATCATTAAATATAAAAAAAGTAGAAAACTAGAAATCTTTTTCTGTTTAATTTATCAATAATATACCTTATCATTTATAAGTAACAAAAAAAATTAAACATTATATATGAAAATAATTCATACAGTTTGTTATTTACTATTGAAAATGAAAAATTAAAATAAAAGTCATATGTGATAGAGTTTTCTGCGTGAACTTTCCTTATATAACATCTAGGTTATATGCGTGTTCTTTGGTAGACATAAGATGGAGGTTTGTATTTTTATATCAACAATCGTGTATTTAAATATTAATTATAACACCAAATATTTATTGTTGAGATTACAAAAAAAAAATAATAATACTATTTTTACTAAAATGAACCCAAAATTAGTTAAAATAAAAAATTAATAAAGTTTTAAACTTCTCCAGTAAAAAAAAATGTACTGTAGATACGCGGTATTATAAAATGCTAGTTACGCGGTTTTGCACTATCCCCGACGATATGGATTTCTTGATAAAACTGTGGTCAAAAAAATTTTTTTTTTACATAAATTGTTATAACTTTGACAATTTTTATTCAAAAATCATTAACTTAGTATCAAAAGATAGGTGTAAAAATGGTCTTTAATTTTAAACTTATTTCTAGGTAAACGGCACATCAAGGGATCCGGAGGGGGTGCTAAACCACTACCAACACTGCACAAAAAAACACTATTTCTACATGAAAGAGTGTTTTTTTTTATGAAATTGATAATATTTATGTTATTATTTTATTCTACATCACTAGCGAGTATTACAGGTCTATCTTAAAGTTGGGTGTTAGGTTGTGGGTAAGGTTTAACACACCCTATCAAAATTTCATTCTTTTAAGTATTCTAATATTTACTAAAATGATTAAATTATAAAAAAATAAATATAATATTTCAATACTATGAAAAATAGTAACTAGTGGTATATAAAATTGCCTTTTTTGGAGTTAAGCGTATGCCGCCCTCTTGCCGCCCTAAACATGAAGAAAAAAAATTTAATGACAATTTCACAAAAAATGTCAAAATGCTTTCTTAAACAGAGAAAAATTAGAATAAAAAACTATTTTACCACACTACAAGATGCGTTTGAATATCCTTTTTGTCCTTTAAATGGACCGATTACCTACAATAGACACTACGTGAAGGTAAGCCAGAGCCGTCTATCAAAAAAAAATTTGCAAGCTACAAAATTTGCGGTACTCATTTTGCAAGCCATAAAACTTGCTGCACCATATTTGCAAGCTGCAAAAATTAAAAGGCATATAAGTTAATGTCATTTAAATTAAGAAAATATTATTTCTCCGGTTATAACATCAGCAACAACCTGGATTTTTTTCATCTTATATTCAACAGCTTCAATATCAGTTTCATCTTGCTTCCAGTAAGAAATAGTGTAAGTTATATCCTGTTGTCTCTTACTTTTTCTACTCTTCCATCATAAATAACTGTTTTTGAATCGATAGCAACATACCATTCATGACAAAGTTTTCTTCCGACAATTATTTCAGACATAACATCATCTAAATCATCAAGTTGTTTGGCAGATAAGTGTTTATACAAATTTATAATTTCGCTGGTAGTTAATTCACGCAGTTCACGCTCCAATCTTTTTTGTTTTTCATCCATTTTTTGTCGTTTGGATGCTTCTCTATCAGCAACCTTTGGGCGAATTTTACTGTGTAATAGTCGAGTTCTACTTTTATTTTTACGTGCCGTGTTAATAGACCACTTAACTACTTTTTCTCTAGACAACTCATCAAGATTATCAAGATAATCTATAGTTCTATTCTTTTTGGACCTTATTTTGCTAGATATGTAACAAATTGTTGCATTAGGGCATCGTCCTTTGAAATCGCTAAACATACCAATCAACTCTTCACTATCAACATTGTGAAGCTGTGCACTGGCTGTCTCTTTCTTAAGATTCTCTGTAATAGTAAGTGAGAAATATCTCTTATATTGGCATGTCAAAACATCCTTCACTAGCAGAAGTCATTTCAAGAAGTTGGTCATCAATCGGGCATAAGGTTGTAATAGGTTTTAAAACACGTGGATCAAGCATTTTTCCAAAAAAATCCATCTTTCTACAAAATAACGCACCTGGATCTGGTATGCAACAAGTAGTTTCTTTCAAAACATTTTTTATCACCTGGATTCCAGTGAAATGATCGAAACTTGCATTACCAGCTGATACATAAAACTTAGTCATCCATGGTCCACTGAGAAGTTTACTAAACAGCGCAAGCACTCCCATTTGTTTTATAGCAGATGCGTTACAAAATGCTTCTCGTAGAATTGGTTGTAACCTGAAATATTTTACTGTTCCAGTGGTCAAATAATGTAGAAAATCAGCATAGTGTTTCATAAAAATAAAACAAGTATGGAAAAGAATGTGCGAACGGTTTTCACGATACCGTGGAATAATACCTCAAGGTAGTTTTTTATTGTCTAAAAAATTTACAAACCCTTGTGGTTCACCTTAACCATCCTTAAACCTCATTTTGTTCATTGCTAACACAATTTTGACTGCCATACAATCATATCCAAACAATTTGCAACGTTCCAATTCTAGAGATTTCAAAACTTCCCGACATGCAATTGTGTCTAGAGGGTGTAAATGGCAGTTGATCTCATTTAAATTCTTCCCCCATGTATTACAAATTTTAGTAATAGTAAGATAGTTAACTGAGACTCTGTCAGACATTGTGTTGGAAATATTTGATATAATTGAACTACGACATTCGTTAAAGGGAAGGTAGTGAAAATCTGAAAAAATAAAATCTAAATGATCAACTGCTCCACATATATGGCTTTCATAATCAACAGCTGTTCCACCAGGTAACTGGTCCAGAGCAATGACCTGACAGTTTTTTTCAGATGTGAGATGAACAGTGTTGATGTGAACACCCTCTTGTGTTGTTGCGTCATGTCCAAGAGTAAGATGAGAATTACTCATAGCCCATTCTGCTGCTTGCAGTTCTGCTATACTGCCAAGCTCACGAGCCATTTGCTCAATAGTTGAACAATAAGTAATATTAGTAAAGTTAATTCCCAATATTGCCCAACTTTTGCAATTAGAAATAGAATATTACCTTTTGGAACATTTGCTAATAATATGCCATAGATTCTCATTCTCATTTGTAATGGGTAACTTTTATCATCCTCTGACATAATAACATTTTGAATTTGGCCCTCTTTTATTTGGAAAATATCGTTTTTTAGTTGAGCGATAAACATTTTACTTGCCTTACTATCAGTATTATGTTTTAGTTTTATCTGCATTAAGTTTTGTTTCTCTTTTACCTTTGATGCCTTTGATTTTGCTTTAAGATAGCGAATTAACCTACTGTAATGATATGTTTTAATTTGTTTTTTTAGTTCTCTAACTTCCATTCTCAAAGCTTTAATAATATATTCTTTTCTTTTGATGCTTTGCCTGAATAATTTTAACTTATATGGCATGCTATTATATTTTGATTTAATTTTTGCTCTGGTTGAGCTTGCTAACTAAGAAGATAAATATGATAATCTTTTAAGGAGTTTTGCTTTCTTAGGGGTTACTTCTTCTCTAGATGTTTGCTTTCTTGTTTCATTTTCTATGTATTTAACAGGCAAGAAATTTTTTCAGGTTCACTGTTGACTAGAGGTAAAATTGCAATATTTTCATGAATTGATGGAACAAAAGATGAAACAACTGCCGATAAAGTACTCTGATTAAGTTGTATTTCCTGGGCACGAAGTTGGTTCATTGGCACGCTCGATGAATGGTATGTAGTAGTTTGATTACAGAAATCATTAAACTTTGAACAATCCCTTGCGTAATTGCTAGTAAATTTTTTGGCAACGTTAAGAACATTATAGAGTTGACGTTTACTAATATTTAAGCTAAATAACTCATTCACTTGTTTAAGAGTTTTACCTACTGACTAAGTGTTATTAGTAAATGACAAGATTACATGTCCATTTTTACAGTGTGTAAATATTTCATTGCGCAAATTGAAGTTTCCAGCTAAATAGTGTTTCAGTGCATCCGGAAATACACATCCACTATTTTTTGGACCCATAATTCCTTTAAATAATTACAATTGAATCGTTGATATATTTTTATTTTTATTAAATTTCTTGAAAATTAATGTACTAATATATAATAAATTGTTAACAATTGATAATACAACATGAAAATACATTTTTTTAAAGAATATACTAACAAAATATCATACATACCTAATACAATCAAGTAATTGTTAAACTATGGTCCAACTAATATTTAAATCTGAATAATGTAAATCAATTTTTTTAGGAACTGTAAATAAAAGCCCAATTATTTAAAGATAAAATAATTTTTACAAAAGTCAAATAAACATTTTAAATCAACTAAAATAAGAAAACTAAAAAGTATGCAAAAGACTCTACACATTTAATAACACTTAACATTTAAAATGGTACTCATTTTAAAACTTGCATTTAATATAGGTTATAAAATTCTCATCACACTTTATTTGCATTTGAAAGTGGTAATTATCTATGGGTACCACTTTCAAATTTTTTTTTATCACATACAACATTGAAAACATGCAAAATATTTATTGCAACTACTACACTTTTTAATTCTTAAAATTCTTTTTTATAATTGTTTTGGCAAAAAACTTAGATGAAAATAAAAAAATGCAAAATATAATTCAATTTAAAAACACTTTTTAATTCTTAAAATTCTTTTTTATAATTCAAACCGGGCCCAACGCAAATATGACTTGTTGTTGGTGGATCCAGGATGCTGGGTCCTATAAATTTTGTAGGCTTGTGACAATAAAGAAAACAAATTAACTAATATTGTATATTTTTAAAGAAAAATAAAGGAATAGTGGTACCATGTTAACTTTTAAATTGTTTATATTAAAGTTAACATAATGGGTGCCACATAAAAGTTTGAAGTTCACATTGAAGTTAACATAATGGGTTCCTCCTTTTTGGACCTCTTCTGGCGCGACCACTTCCTGTACCTCCTCTATTGTTGTCCCCAGCACCCCTGTTTGGGGGATAATAGGGCTATCTAAAAAGGGGGTCATCTTTGCCATCAAACCGGGCCCAACGCAAATATGACTTGTTGTTGGTGGGTCCAGGATGCTGGGTCCTATAAATTTTGTAGGCTTCATATGTAAGCTCTATAAAATAACTAATAATTATATTAGTAACAAATGGCATTATGGAACTCTTAATCTAAATATATAAAATTATTGACTAATAAATCACTTATAGGTAAACAAATTTTTAATAAGATTAAAAATTTAAATACTTTCTTTTTATGAGAACTCAAATGAGAACACAATATAAATGTATTAAACAGTGTATATTAATAGGAATAATAAAAAGTTGATAACCATTCAGATACATTTTTAACACATAAATTTACCAGCAGAAGGTTGAGCAGGTGGAACTAGAGGTAGGAAAAGTTGTTATTTAAAGATATTGCAATTGCTGAGAAATGCGCACACATTAAAAAGTAATTTTTTTAGACATACCAGTTGTTGCAGGTGAACATGAAACTAAGGTTAAAAAGTTGTAATTAGAAAAATTGCAATTAATGAAAAATGCATACACAATTAGAAGGTAAAATTTTTAAAACTTACCAATCGTAGAAAATGTACACGGTCCTAAGGTTAAAAAGTTGTAATAAAAAATTAATATAGCAATTGATGAAAAATGGATACACATATAAACAAGTAATATTATTTAGACATACTACTTGATGCAGACGACGATAAAACTAAGGTAAAAAAGTTGTAATAAAAGAAAAATATAGCAATTGATAAAAAAAGGCATACATAATCAGAAATTAAAAATTTTAAAACTTACCAATCGTACCAGCTGAAGGCATAAGCATAAATACTAATATTTCAATTTATAAAAAATGCAGTGCCGGCCTTAGGGGGGAGCGAGGTTGGGCGCCGCCCAAGGGCGCCAGGAAACAGGGGCGCCAAACGTTGTATGCAAACTTTATTAATATAATAAATAGAAAAAATAAGTCAACCTAAATTTTTTCGATTTCGATTTTCGATTTTTTGTTATTTTTTCGAATGTTTTTTTTTTATATAAAAATAATTTCTTTAAATAATTTCTTTATTGTATCATTACACTGTTAAAAATTCTTTATGCAAAATTAATAATTTGAGTAAAAGTGTTTCAATCGTAGCTTATATTATGTTACTTAAATTCATTTTTTTACTTGTATCTTTCTCGGCGCCAATTATTTTGCGTTCCATTCATTTAAAGTTTAAATTTTAAACATTATTTTCGGTACGAGTTGCGAGCGCGTTGTTTATTAATTTGTAGAAGAAATTTAAAGTTGTATTTGTGATTCAAATTCAGTTTTTGTCATCTTTTCAAATTTTGCGGTAATAAAAAGCAGGTAAGTATAAATAATGAAATTGGTTATGAATTATTAGCTTGCGAGTAATTTTTTTATTTTGAAATTTTAGACAAATAGAAACTGTCAGCAGCACTCAATAGAGAGTACTCATAATAAAGAAAAAAATGTTTTTAAAACTCATAATAATAAGAAACCATCTGGTGCTCAATACAGAAAACGTTAAGCAGAAAAAGTTGATAATTTGAAGAAAAATTATAAAAACTTGAAAATATTTTTACATCGGAAAATAGTGATTGTAATAAAATAAAGGAAGGAGAAAATGTTGCGCATCTACTTAGTGATACATCAACCAGAGATTTTGGACTGAATATAAGCTTTTGTCGAGGGCAAGGTTACGATAACGGTGCAAATATGAAAGGTAAAAAAATAGGTCTACAAAAGCGAATATTAGATTTGAATCCTTTGGCTTTTTACCTTCCATGTAGAAGTCATTCTCTCAATTCGGTTATTTGTGACGCAGCTCAGTCTTCACTAAATTCCATTAACGTTTTTGGCATAATACAAAGATTATTCACATTATTTTCTGCATCAACTTCACGCTGGAATGTTTTACTTAGTCATACAACAAACTTCACTCTTAAACGATTATGTGACACTCGTTGGGAAGCCAAAATTGAGAGCCTCAAAGCCATCCGATACCAAATAAGCAGCGTACATATTTAAGAAATACCATGTTCAGGGGCGGACTGGCCATGTGGAAGATGTGGACTATTCCACATGGGCCGTTTTCATAATCTCATAAAAATGTAAAATTCAATAAATTTTATTGAATTTTATATTCTTCAAATATTCTTTGCTGCTTTTCCTCATTTTTCGTTGGCCTACAGGGCCGTTAAAAATATTTTTCCACATCATAATAATTTGGCCAGTCCGCCCCTGACCATGTTGCAAGATCGACTTAATTCTCTATTTATGTTATCAATCGAGCAAGATATAGCTGAAAATTTAGATTTTTCTAGTTTGATAAAAGATTTTGCGGACAAAAAAGCTAGAAAAGTTAGATTTTAAAATTTAATAACTCTTGTTTATATAGTTAGAGGATTTATTATATGTTTAATAAAAACATTTATTATTTTAAAAGCAGCGTTGCGTTGTCTATTTATTTAGTCACTCATTTCTATAAACCCATATCATGAAAAGTCTAAATTTATAATTTTAATAAGAAATTAATTCAATAAGAAACTTGATGCACAATATGGATCTCTTTGCATTAAACTATATATTCCCTTTAGCACTCTTGTTCATCATTTTAGAGCATTGGTCTCGTTGTTAATGGTATCAACCCACCCATATATACCTAGGGGCGCGTTCACAAGTTTTGCCTAACCTGTCAAAAAAGCTAAGGCCAGCGCTGAAAAAATGGATACACATATAAAAAAGTAATATTATGAAGACATACCACTTGATGCAGAAGACGATAAAACTAAGGTAAAAAAGTTAATAAAAAACAAATAATGCAATTGATGAAAAATGCATACATATATTAGAAAGTAAAGTATTTAAAATATACCAATTGTAGCAGATGAGGATGTTCCTCAGTTTAAAAAGTTTTAATAGAAAACAAATATTGCAATTGTTGAGAAATACATACACATATTACACAGTAATAATTTTTAAACTTACCATTTGTTGCAGTTAAAGTTGGAACTAAGGTTAAAAGATTGTTATAAAAAATAAATGTTGCATTGATAAGGAATGCATAACAGGTTTTTAGAACTTACCAACTGAACCAGATGAAGATGGTTCTAAAGTTAAAAAAGGAGTAAGACACCGCAAAAAAAAAATAAGTGTAGCATTAAATATATTCACAGAATAAAAATTACTGGTTTTTAAATTTGATAACTATAGCAAGTGATAAAAGGAGAGATGATTAAACAAAATATAAGTTAAACCTAGACACACATGTTTAAACTGTTATTACTATGATTCCTAACAGAAGTTATAGTATACAAACTTACCAATGGTAGACCTTGTTGATTCAACTAAAGTTAACAAAAAAATTGTACAATAAAATATTTTTTATTGTCAAAAGTTCAAAAAATAAAAATTAAAAAATTAAATTATAAAGATTATATGAGTATAAACAAGAAGCTAAAATTAAGAATGGGTATATACTTATGTAAACAATAAACATATATAAATTAGTATACATCAAAAAAAGGTGTTAGACAATAATAATTATATCTTATATTTAAAAAAACTTTAGAAATATTGAGTTAATGCAAAAATATTATGGGAACTATACTTACGAAATCTCAAGAAATCTATAATAATAGTGCTAGGATCTAAACAAGAAGCAAATATAAGACATGCTTGTATAATGATTTAGATAATATTCAAAGGATGAAGTAGTAATACTACTTCATACCATACTACTAGTATACAACAGGAAAATGATAAAAGATGATGAATGTTTAAAAATGAATTTTTAAATTATTTTTAAACTAAACGCTAAAAAATATTTTGTTAAGAATAAATCAATATAAATTTGATTTGTAGACTTCTATTAAAATTAAAAAAAAAGTAGCAAATTATACAAATCATAAAATAATGTATTCTTAACAAAGTATTTGTTAATACACAAATAAGTATTTTTAATACTTATTTGTGTATTAACAAACTTTTATACTTAAATGGTGTTTTAATGAACCTGTGAAATTTTTATCTATTAATAAAATCAAAACTGTTTTAACCTAATACATTAATCTTTTTATACTTAAGATTATCTTACCAAGATAAACAAAAAGAGTAAGGTTTTAAACATTTATGTTATTGTTTTAAAAATAGTTATCAATAATATAATTATAAAAAAAAATTTGCTTACTATCTGTTAAGGAATCTATGTATTTGTGCAAGTCATTTTTTCCATTTTATACTGTTATCTAATAATAAAAATAAAAATAATGCTGAAAAATTTTTTTTTTCTAAGAACTGGCCCCCCTATCCGCCCCCGTATTTATATAGTGTTCGCTGTTACCGAAAAAAATTCATAAAAACAGAAATTAGGTAACAAAAGTGCTGCACTAAATTAAGTATCTGCTCCCTTTTTTTTTGGCTGAAATTTGGCAGGTAAAAAGAAAATTCATTTAGAAAATAGAATAAATAATAAAAAAAGCGGGCTCAACATTTCTTAGGTACGAAATTAATGTGAAAACATCGACTAAATTTTCATGGAAAACTTTCACCAAAAAAGTTCATAAAAAATTTAGGCAACCATACTTAAAAATAATATAATAATCAAGCTTCACCTTTCTTCTTTCAAAAAATATTCTATGTTTATATGTGTTTCTAAAAAGAAATACCTCAAAAAAACGTTTGCCTAAGGCTACCTAAAAAAAGTGGTATATATAGAATAACACATAGTAAACTATCTGCTCCTTTTTTTTGGTTGAAAATTGGCATATGCTTAGAAAATGCATGTAGAAAGTTAAATCAATAATAAAAAAAAGCGGGCTCAACATTTCTTCTACTATAAATTAATATGAAAACAAATAATAAACTTTCAGGACCATAAAAAACCATGAAAAACTAGTAACCGTACATTAAAAGCCACATAAAAATCAAGATTAACCCTTTTTCTTTCAGAAAAATATCTATGTTTATATATGTTTCTAAAAAGAAGCACCACAAAAAAACGTTTGTCTGACGCTACCTAAAAAAAAGTGAAAAAAACGTGGAACGATATTTTAGCACAAAAATCGGCTCCGTAAAACGCAATTTCGGCGTACCTAGTAAAAACCAGCAAGATGCTATGCTGGCATCAATGATATCTCCAATTGAAGTAAAACAAAAAGGACCTAGAAAAATGACGATGAGGGTAATTCACATAACTATTCATATCAGTACAATTTATTAATTGTAAGAGACTTCCTAGTGAAAATTCGAATTTGTTACAATGCATTTCTTTCCATATTTAACATCAGCAAATCAAGACTTGAAAGAATTTAAAAGATCTTAACAATGACTGGTTAATAGTATTATTTTTTTAAAGCAGTACTTTTTTTAAAAAAAAAAATTTTTTAAATCTTATTTATTGACATGTAAATAGTCAACTAAATTAAATATGTTTAAATGTCAACTAAAATAAAAATGGTTAACTAAATTAAATATAAACATATGTCATATCTTTATATATGTTATATACAATGATGTAGTCACATTGTATGAACACACGCTTTCAATTCAAAGCATGGTCTTAAGCTTATGGTCATTCGATTCAAAACATGGTCTTAAGCTTATACTATTATAAACCAAAAAGGATTTTTTTGACCATTCCAATTTGAAAACTATTTTGAAAAAAATAGAAATTTGTGTCCTAATAATCTTAATTATTACATATAACCAGAATCATGTTGTCATATTCATTTTCCACACAGAGTTAAGTTTCCACATATTTTAGGAGTAATACTTTAGTCCTTAGCGTTTGGATTTTGTGTAGGACATATTTGTTTTATTTACAGGAATGCCACCCAAGGACCAAAGAGGAAAACATATAAATCGACCTCGCAAATTTACACAAGAGAAAAATGAAAGTATTATAAATCATATTCGATCTTTTAGAGGACAAAATTCTCATTATTCTCTCAAAGATTCTAGGAAAATGTACCTTCCAGAAGATTTAAATCTTACCAAGATGCGTTCGATGTACTCAGAAAGCCACCCTGGTGAATCATGTTCCAGAGAAAGTTACAGGTTTGTTTATTTTGTTTCACTTTCAGTAGATAAAAAGTAAATAATCAATTTATTATAGCATTGAAAAGTTATTATTTTATTTAAAATTTTTAAAATTTTTCATTATTTTGGGTGATTTTTTTTTGTTATTATGAGTGAAGTTTGACTATTATTTTTTTTTTATAGACGAATCTTTACTGAAAAATTTAGCATTGCTTTTGGGTACACAAGGAAAGACACTTGTTCAACATGTGGTAGATTTAAAATAGAATTGTCAAAATGTAACTCTCAACCTGAACTACAAAAACTTTCAGTTAATCGAGAGCTTCACTGGAAAAAAGGGCTAGTATTTTATGAAAGAAAGACTGCTTCTATACACGGAGCACACTCTTTAACCTGGTTTGCTGCAGTTGCCTTTGATTTTTGGAAGAATCTTCCTTGCCCTAATATAACAATCAATGACACATATTATAGAAGAAAACTTTCTCTGTACACTTTTAACATTCATAACCTTGGAACTAATGAAGTTTCCCTTTTTTCCTATAATGAGACAGTTGGGAAAAAGGTTCTAATGATGTAGCATCAATATTACTGCACTATTTTACTAAAATATTGCCTTCAGAAGTCACTCATCTTCAACTCTTCTGTGATTCGTGTCCCGGACAGAAAAAAAATTGGACTAAGCTGACTTTTTTGAACTATAGACTCGCCAGCTAGCTGGTTAGAACACTTGTAGAATGCCAGGAAAACCGCTTCTCCTTTTCACGTAATTCCAGTAGAATACACCATGTTGCTAAATATAGAAAAACACCTTAAACCTTTCTTTGTCACAACTTCCCCGATTAAAACTCAGACACTTCGAGAAGTTGTAATCTCTAAAAACCAACCAAATAAAATACTTTTTAGAGAGAGCTGGAACGGGCAATTCTCTGATGCTGTTGTCACAAAACCAGTTAAAAAGAGGAAATTGTTGTTGGCGCCCCTTCAGCCTTCAAATAGAGTGCCTATACCTCTTTCTTATTAAAGTATAATGACTTACAGCATCTCAAACATTTTTGTAAGCAAGACGCACATGAATTTTATGACTGTCTTCCATATCAAAGGGAGGATCAATCGCTTTCTGTAGATGCCTATTCTAAATTAGATGAAGAAGAGGAAGTTGAATTTTGAAATTTAAACTAGTTTCTAGTCCCTTTTTGACATTTTGACAATGTATTTCTTTGAATGGATTTTATAAATTTGCTTATTATTTATATTATTTGGTTTTTTTTTATATTTGTTGATGTTGACTTGCCTTTTAATTACTTATACAATGGATTTTTCTTTTATGCTTGATAAATTAAAATTATCATTATCCCAGCGGTATAATGATAATTTTTAACATAAAAATGATAATCAAATAATTTATACTGGCGGGCATTTACTCTGCAAAACACGTATTTTGTACGTTTTAAACAAGATCACCACGTACTAAAGACATTTAAAAAACAACTTTTTCTGAACCAAATGGCTGCTGAGATAAAATAAGTTGTAATTTGTAAAAAGAAACGAAAGGTTAAGTTGTTAAAAGCCAACCTTAGTAAAGAAATACGTTTTGCAACTGAAAAAGCGGGAACGTCAATTTTAGATAAAGGTTGCATAATTATATAGCAAACCAACAGTTTTTGCAAAAATTTGAAATTAGTATATTTTTTCTTTCATTCTAAGGCCAATTTTAAAAAATAAATCTAGGCAAGACTGTTTTTTGTAAAACAAATAGGTAAGGGAAGTCTTTGAAAATTAAATTCGATTTATCTCATTTTGCGAAAAACTGACATTCCCTGTTCTTCCCGTGCACCCTTTATATATATATATATATATATATATATATATATATATATATATATATATATATATATATATATATATATATATATATATAAATTATTATATATTTTTAATTAAAATTAAATAGATATAATAAAATAAAATTAATGTATAACTTTTATGAAAAACTCTTGCTCTTTCCACCAGCAAGCACTTATATTTTTATTATTTTTTATAATATACTAGTTTTAATATTATACTATATATAATATATAGTGTTATATTATAACTAGTATATTATAAAAATAAATAAAATTTAAGTGCTTGCTTGTGAAAAGAGCAAGAGTTTTTAATAAAAGGTATAATATATAAAGGTATATAATTTAGTTTTGAATTTTCTGCTTCCAAAAATATGCGCGATTTTAATTCCATTTTTATATCATTTCATTTTAATTTTATAGTGTGTGATTTATGAAAATGTGTGATTTACGAAAGTTTTTTTTAACGCCAAGCATCTTTATATTATTTTTTAATTTCAATTTTTATATATACTGTGTTACCATTTTGAGGTAATGTTTTATAATCTATAATATTTAGGTTTTTTTTTTTTTTGTAGTTGTAGATAAGAGTCTTAAATAAGTTTTAATACGAAATTAAGTTAAAACATGGTTCAACTTAATTTTAGAGGTTCATTAATGTATTAAATATTTTAGTTATATTTTTATTAAATTAATCATTTTCAAGTGTTTGATGAGTGCTTAAAAAGTATTCAATTGCGTTTGCGTTTTTTTCCATTCAATCCCGGAATATCCCAGGATTTCTCGGGGAA